TTTTATGTGCTTCATCACCTTTCTTATAGTTTCGCTCCCCCTGCTCCTCCTTCAGGTGTGTGTGGTGCCAGACCACGGTGCACGATGACTGCATGGAGAGCTTGACGGATGGAGACGTGTGCGACTTGGGCGAGTTCCACAACCTCATCATCCCCCCTCACTACCTCTACCGTGTCAACAAGCTGCGCCGCAGGCACCCCGACGAGTACAGCAAGGTGTTGAAGTCACGACTGGCCTTGTCATAGTGCTCCTACGTCAGGTGCTCCGGAGACGTTTTAAAAAATGCGTTTTCTGCTTGTGTCTTGTAGCTCGGCTCTTCCTGTGGCAGCGGCTGGACTCCAGTGTTGGTCTTGGCTAACACGCGTAGTGGGAACAACATGGGGGAGGTGCTGCTGGGCGAGTTTCGCACCCTCCTCAACCCGGTGCAGGTCAGCTCGCAGCTCGCCTGCATCTTTTGTTTCAGGGAGAGCAAACTTTGTCATTGTTTTTTTTCAGATCCTGGAACTAATCGTGTTTTCTGCTTCACCTCCAGGTGTTTGACTTATCTCAGCTGACTCCTTCCAAAGCCCTCCAGCTGTGCACCCTCCTTCCCCCCGGCAGCGTCCAGGTGCTGGTGTGCGGAGGTGATGGCACGGTGGGATGGGTGCTCGATGCCATCGATGCTATGAAGCTAAAGGTGAGACGTCTCTGCGCTCGAGAAAAAAAGAGCGATCTTTCTTTTACACATTACTTCTTCGCTTTGACACTTTTCTACTTTCTTTTGTCAGGGCCAGGACCAGTTCATCCCCAGGGTGACCATCCTGCCTCTGGGGACAGGAAATGACCTCTCTAACACTTTAGGCTGGGGAGCTGGCTATGCTGGAGAGATCCCCGTGGAGCAGGTTCTCCGTAACATCCTTGATGCTGAAGTGGTGAAAATGGACAGGTGAGCGGTGTTGATATTGATGACAGGTACTCCCCAGGCTCAGTCAGAAATGCCTGAACAGACTGATCAGTTTCACTAGTCTTTTTAAAACTGTAGTCTCTTAGGTATTTTGGGACTATATCTATACAAAAGCGGTCAGATGTGTCTTCTAGTTGACGGCTAGTATTTAGATTTTCTTTCTATATTAGGAAATTAATGGGTGAGTCACTTTGACCA